GATATCATCCCCCCGTCCCCGGCGTCGCAGCGAGGAGCCTGCACGCCCGGCCGGGGAGCGCCCTCCCGTGGGCGCTGCTTTGCCCGGTGCCGGACAGTCTGGTATGGGATCCGGTAGCGAGCCTCATTGCTTGGTTGTTTTTTGGGGAGGGGCTGATGCATGCTGGGGGATGCTCGGTGGTGGTGCTCACCTTGTCCTTTTTTCTCTTGCCAGGTGCTGGTGCCCACCCGTGTGGGACAGATGTACGTCTACGACTCCCCAAAGGGCGAGCAGGATGAGTACGATTTCCCTCGCCACCTCCTCTCCACGGGATCCCAGGAGATCTACGATGTGCCGCCTGTCCGAGGAGGGGTCCCGAGCCAGTTCAGCCAGGAGGTGGGACTGGGCAGGAGGAGGAGGGGGTCCCTGGCTCCATCTCCTACCAAGGAGATGCTCTGGCACTGCTTAGGGTCCAAAGCTGGGAGGGCGAGCAGGATGAGTACGATTTCCCTCGCCACCTCCTCTCCACGGGATCCCAGGAGATCTACGATGTGCCGCCTGTCCGAGGAGGGGTCCCGAGCCAGTTCAGCCAGGAGGTGGGACTGGGCAGGAGGAGGAGGGGGTCCCTGGCTCCATCTCCTACCAAGGAGATGCTCTGGCACTGCTTAGGGTCCAAAGCTGGGCACATTACACCCAGAGCTCAGCCTTGGGGGCTTCTTCTGGTGTCTCCATGCTTTCTAGCTGGTGCCTGCGCTATCCCTGACACACCATCCTGTGTCCCCCTCTCTGCAGGTCTATGACACCCCCCCGATGGCAGTGAAGGGTCCCAACGGGCAGGACCCGGGGCAGGAGATCTACGATGTGCCCCCCAGCGTGGAGAAGAACCTGCACCAAACTGTAAGTGCTGCTGGGAAGCTTCCATATAAGAAAGACTCGCTTTGCAGTGGGAGCAACCACTCACTGGACCAACCTCCCCAGGGATGTGGTGGCATCCCTGGCACTGGAGGCTTTCAAGATGCGAGGGGGCAGGGTGCTCGATCTCACCTCAGGGATGAGGTTGGACCAGATGATCTTTTGAGGTCCCATCCAGGCTGGCCCGCTCTAGGGTTTTGTGATTCCCACCCTGAAGGGGATGCGGGAGGCTGGGGGTGCCCACGGGTGCACGGCTCTGTCCTGCTGCACACCCAGCGCCGTCTTGTGCACCCGGGGCTGGCACTCACACGCTCTCCCGGTGACACTGACCGTGCGTGCTGCTGCCCTTGCAGGTGTACGACGTCCCCCCCTCGGTGAGCAAGGATGTGCCGGATGGCCCGGCGCGGGAGGAGACCTACGACGTGCCCCCTGCCTTTGCCAAGCAGAAAACCTTCGACCCCTCTCGCCACCCCCTCATCCTGGCCCAGCAGGAGCCCTACTTGCCAGAGGATGTCTACGACGTGCCACCGGCAGCTGGGAAAGGCGCCTCCGAGCCACAGCTGTCCCACGAGATCTCCGATGTGGCCCCCAGGCTTAAGAAGCTGGGG